TAACATTCATAAATGAATGTTTAAAAACAAATATAATAAAATTTATACTTACGCGCTAACAATTTAATAAAAAAAATACATTATAAAGTTATAACAGCATATAACATGATTTAAAATTAAATAAAAATTTTAAAGAATATAATAAAGTTTATATATACCAGCTAAAAATTTGACAAGAGAAAATGTATTTATAAATTATTAATAAAAATTAGCAAAAAAAAAACAAATCTAATGAAGCTTATATTTACATGCTAATAATCCAATTGGAGATAAATATTATGAAGTTATAAATAGATCATTTAAAATCATCAATGAAAATTTAAAAACAAATATACTAAAGCATACTAAAGCTTATACTTACCCGCTAATAATTCAACAAAAGAAGATGTGCATTAGAAATTAACAATAAAATCAAATAAAATTTTAAAAGCAAATGCAATAAAGCTTATATTTACCCACTGATCATTCAATAAAAGAAAATATAGTTATAAATTAATAGATAACATAATTTAAGATCAAATAAAAATTTTTAAAAAACTTAATAAAGCCTATACTTACTGTCTAAAATTTTGACAGAGGCATTGTTAAAATAATTGTCAGTGAATTAAATATAATATAGTTTATACTTACTCACTAATAAGTTGACAAAAGCATTTGTTAAAATTCATATTTTAAAAATATTCAATAACTTTTTTAACAAATATAGTATACCTGCTATAATTTAAAAAAATAAATATATAATGTTGTAAGTAGAATGATTTAAGACGAATGAAAAGTGTAAAAATAAATATAATAAATCTATACTAAATGAATAATTCTAAATAGCATAGAGCGCTGTATTCAATACCCAAGTACAAATCAAGTTTAGTCCATGGTTTTGATATATATCTTGGTAATGAATGCAGGGCTCTATGGTAAATAATTTAAAGATCAATGGTAATTTAAGATAAATATAGTAAAGCTAATTTTTCTATTTAAAAAGTATATTATATAAATTATAAAGTTATATAATTTAAGAAGCAAATGTACTAGAGCTTATAATTACTCGCCAATAATTTAATAAAAGAAATATACATTATAAGGCCATGCAAAATTAATTAATTGGTTTTCATAACCCGGCCGGGTCAAATTTTGAAAAATTGTAAAAAAAAATTTTTATGTTTTAATAGCGGGTGGATTTTTAAAGAAATTTTTTAAAAAAAATTTATAAAGTTTTTATATATGAAATTTTTTAATAAAAAGCCGGCCGGTCGGCCGGGTTTGTTTAAAAGTTTCATGTTATGAAACCAAAGAAAGTAAATTTGTGTGGCCTAATGTTATAAAACAGCATAATTTAAAATCAAATAAATTCAAAAACAAATATCATAAAGTTTATACTTATCCGCTAATAACTGCAGAAGCATTTGTCAAAATATTCGTTAGGTGTATATTTCAAGAAATAATCAATTATTTTATAAATAAATACAATAAAGCTTAACCCTAAAACTTATACTTACATGCTATTAATTCAATAATAATTTGGAAACAATTATAGTAAACTATGCTTACCATCTAGTAATTAAAGACAACGTCAAAAATGTGAATTAAGGTTGCAAAGAACAATTTTAAGTATCATCTAATGATATTCTAGCATATAACAAAAACAATAATGTACATACTGTCTAATAATTAAATATAAAATGCGTTATATAAATGGAAATGTAATTAATTTCAAAATTTTGTAATATGTTTAATAATGAACTATTATAAAACAATGAATCAAATTAATTGCCTTTTCTGTACGAGAGGCGAGGCAGTTATTAAGTAAACATTTAAAATAACAATAATAAGAATTAAAATGAAGTGACAATTAATATTAGACCGAATTAATTATTATTATCTGTTAGTGAAATGATAATTTAACATCTTTATCACCTTTAACGAGCTCAAGTTGTATTTATAATATTTTTTGAAAAAAACTTTGTGAAACGAATGTCAAAGTGGATAATTTTCAGGAAGAATTTTAGACCGCGATTATAGGACAAGATAAAACCTTATGATTTTGTTAGACAAAAAACTTGAGATTTTCTACTCTCTAAGAACTATCGTGCATGATAAATATTATAATCCTGCGGAACATAACCCGATCATCTCCAAGTTTTTAAGACTATACCTAAATTACAGTTGATTAATTTACGTATTTAATTGATGATTACCAAAAACCTTCCGAAAATAGATCTTTTTGGCTGTTTTCTAGGAAAATCACTATATGAGTAGTGTTTCGAGTTGGTAAAAAAATTTTCCAATCGAATAAACGATTAGATCCTTTGGTACAGAATTATATAGTATGTACTGCAAATGCAAATTTGCTAACTGTCAATTGGCCTCCTGATCTCATTTTAATTTGATGCAACAGGAACTGTCGACTGATCCTTCACCCGGTGTTACACACCAGGTAAAGAATCAGTCGACAGTTCCTCCTGTTACACTTATTATTATTGCTATTGCAATGTAAACGATTGACTTTAGTTTTACTATAAGAACTGTCAGTTCATTATATGAAAGTTAAATGTATATGGTTTTTTTATTCATTTATATTCATATTTCATAAAAATAAAGGTAGAAATACTAGAGAAAATGATAAACAGATGATTACAATGCATCCATGCTATAGTGAAGTTATATCAAGAAATACTAGACCCAAAAATACTAAACTTCAAAATACTAGACTCAGAAATATTTAATATATTTTTATAATTTATAATTTAAAATTCTTCATTATCTTGTTATGTTATTAGAAATAAGTTCCTTAAAAGTTCCTATTCATAGGGTAACTTTGGTCATTCGCATAACATTGGGTATATACAACTTATAGTTGGTGATAGAATTACTGAATTATGACATTCTACCATATGATATAATTAATTGTAACATAGCATCTAATCGTCATAATTATATGACAGAGTTAAAATTTAGAAATTCAATTAAAATTCTAAGTTGACATACATCAGAATGTTTTAGTATTACTTAATACAATCTGTTTTCAATGCATTCTAATTTAAGCTTTTAGTTAATATATTTAATTTGGTTTCATATTTATAATTACAGCAATTATAACAAAAAATACAACAGTGCCATAATTTAATAATTTTCAAATTTAATTCTACCACTAATTATAATATTCAAAAAAGATGTGCGATTTGGCAAGTACTAAAGGTAGGTTATACTTTATTGATGTATTGTGTAGTTACTATTTTTACATTTTAATAATTCACTTATATATTTTTTTATCTACTAAATGTGCTAAATTTATTAACTACACTATAAATGCTAATTCTCTAATTATATTATATACTACACATTTATGCTATGTTTTCTTTATATGTATTCAATCTTGTTCAAATTACTAACAATCTTCTTTTGAGTTATGACAATATTAAGAGTTTCTATAACAAGGTTGAACAGATTAGCTCTTTAAATTATTTAACTTGTAAGTATATTTATAGAATTTTATAATCTTTTATAACTTCATTTTAATTATATATTTATTTAACATAAATACAGATTTATTTATAAATTCAGTTATAATAAATGCTTATTATAACAGACTTCTTTGAACATGCAAACTATGAAATAATAAATTTATATTATAGAGTTTGAAATTTGTATAACAATATTAATATCATTTGTACAATTTAATGAAATTATTATTTAGTAATTAAGTTTCTCTAGAATTTATTTAACTATTTATTCTAATCTATAATAATGAATTGTCTCTTAAAAAATGATTAAACCTTTCCTTCAAAAAAAATTTTATTTTAAAAAAATAATGAATTGATAAGAAAAATAGAAAAAAAAATTTGAATCCAAATTTTTCAAACATTTTAAGATCAGAATATTATAAAACTGTATTACAATTGTGATAATGTACAAGTTTGTAAAAATCTTTAACAAACCTTGATTTTATATATAATATATTATGAATATAATATGCTATATCAATATAGTTTTATGTGATTTTTATAATATACTCTATAATTAAACCATATACTACAAATACAGTGGCAGCCAAAGATATTGCATCATCTGAACACAAAATTTAAATTTTTAATATCTCATAGCACAAAAATCATAGCAACACAAAGAAGGCTTTATTGAAATCATCAAATCAAACATATTAAATGTTATAAATTTATTTTTGCAACAATAAAAAACAAATCAAATTATTAATAAATAATGATCTTTTGGGTGATGCATTTATTTTGATTATTTTCTTGATTTTTATTTATTATAAAATAAATTTAATAATAAATGATTCTATTACAAAAATATTTTGATGAATTGTTATTCACCATCTAGTATAACTACCCTCTCTTTAATTACATCATTAATATGGGACTGCATGGATTCAATGAGCTGTTTATACATGTCTATATCTAACTCAACTCAAACTTTTTGAACAGCATTCCACAATTCATCAGGAGTTTTCATGCATCCAAGTCTTCTCAGATGACAATTCATTTCATTCCACAAATGCTCGATTGGATTCAAGTCTGGGGATTGGGAAGGCCAATCAAGCACCTTGATCTCGTTTTCTTCTAATCACTCCTTCGTAAGACATGCAGTATGCTTTGGATCATTATCTTATTGAAAAATAATGTCTCTCTTATCCAAATAATGCCACTCGATAGTTCCTAGAAGGTCTTCTTCCAATATTTGACAATATAAAGCACTATCCATATTTCCATAAATGCGACAGAGATTGCCAACACTACTTGACATGAAACACCCCCACATTATGATACTGCTTCCTCCTAACTTGACTGAGGGTTGAACATGGTGGTCTTGTAACGGTTCTCCAAACTTTCTCCAACAATACTCTCGACCATCAGATCCAAAAATCATGAACTTGGATTCGTCTGACCACTCCAGTCTTCGATGATCCAAGATATATACTTCTTTGCAAACATTAAATGTTGGTGCTTGTGGGATTTAGATAGATATGACTTTTTACGTTTGACTCAGGCTCTTAATCTGTTATGACGCAAAGTCCATTTGATTGTGTTTTCACTAACAATAATTTCCTCATCAGTTTTTAGCTTTTTTTGAACAGAAACAGCATTGGTACATTCTTCAGTTGCAATATACCACAACACTTTTCACTCATAGCAGCCAGTAAGTAGTCTCAGGTGTCCAAGCTTTGGTTTGTCACTAAAGGTACCTGTTTCTTTCTTGTATTGTTTGATTCTTACAACAGTAGATTGAGAAATTTTTTCATGGTCAGCTATATATCAGGTTGGGTATCCTTCATTTAAAAGGATAATAATTTGGAATCGTTTTTCAAACGACAGGTAAACCATATGGTCTATAATTTTTTTGATAGGAAGACCATGTTACAGAGAATCACTTTTATATATAAATAAGATGCTATTTACAAATGCGAAAAGATCATGCACTATGTTCTAATGTTTATTTACTAAACAACCAAAAGTATTGCATCGCTATTTTTTAGGTTTTTTCAAATCAACATGTGAATTTTCTAAAAGAGAAAAAAAAATTTATATATACAGATAAGTTATGGTATGACAAACCCAATTTTTGAACATCGTAGCACTGTGAACGTTGAGTCACGAGATATTGCCTTTTTAAATTTCGTGTTTAGGTGATGCAATATTTTTGGCCGCCACTGTATTAGTAATACTATCCATACTGCACTATATTCATATTTTTTTAATTCGATACAGTACAGTACTTATCTATATAATATAAAAAGATGTAGTATACAGATATATAATATAATACACCTAAATTTAAGTCAATACAACACATTCAAAAAGAAAATACGGTACAAAATATCTATATTTTACCTTTATACAAGCTAATCGAATCGCTAGATACACATTGCACGTACTGTACGCGAAAAAAAAAATGGATATCATATCACTAGACATGTGATATATGGTGGCGCAGATTGCCGAAGGACAAATAAATCTTTAGGATCATATGTAACGTAGAGACACTTCACTCACCGTAAAACAATGCACTTGTTCCTGGTTTAAGCAAAAAAAGGACATAAATTGCATTTGTTATATTTATCAAATCAAATTTAAACACATTAACATTTTTTTTTATAGAAATCATGCGATGTATACGATAGTCAAAATCGGTAAGATCGGGAATAAAACAATTAGAAAATAAGGCATGACCTGAAATGCATAAAGATACCTTATATAAACCATTCACTACCTTTTTTTAGTTAATCATCCAATCAGATCCAAGATTTTGTACACTCATTTAACTTGTAAGTAAATCATACGCTGTACAAACTCCGTTCCTGGTAAACGGCAGAAATGAAATTTTACATACGGAGATGATTATTTACTATATTACATCTAATTTTAACATCCCAATCATAAATTTCTGATTTCACGAACTTGTTTATTTTTGTGTTGAGTTTTCTTTTGGAAGTATATAGTAAATTAGTACGGTACGGAAATGCAAATTGGGACAGACATGTGGAAATCATGATAGTACGTATTGTTGTAAAAGAAAGCATTCTTTAGAAACAACTATAGTCTCACACAAAAAAAGAACAATGCTCGCACTTGCCCTAACCCCAAACATAAAAAAAGGGTTTACTTGTAAAGGATTAAGTCTCCTCTTTCATTTGGCATGAGGATGTGACAAACCATCGGTGTGACGAGTAAGCATTGGCTAAATAATTATATTAACTAATGCTTATATGCCACACCCAATGATTCGTCACATTCTTGTGCCAAACGGATAATGGACTTATAAAAATTAATTTTACAAACCTATGTTAAACGTACGTATTATTAAAATTTTTGCACGTCCGTACTTATTTGTACAATCGTACAGTACTAGTTTACTAACTACCTCCTTTTCCTCCTTTTGAAGGCACAATAAAGTATTTTCTATGGCGCATACGTACGTACATACATTGTTGTTGCATTTTAGGGATAAGTACATTTAAGGAATAAATTGCTAAAATAACCGTATTCATTATAAAAATAGGAAAAAGGTGGTTTATCGTTTACTCTCCTAAATCTAACTGTCATTCTCATAAAAGAAACATGATTGAGCTTAGTATTTTAAAACGCTCAGTTCTTTTCCTCCTAACCAGGAGAATTCTAATATTTCATAGCAGTCCAAGGAGGAGAATAGCAACGTCTCTGTTCCTCCATAAAGAAAAACCTCTTGATGATTCTCTCTTAACGAACATTTCAAGGAAGAAAATGTCACCACAAAGCAATTATTCCAAATTTTTTTGTAAATGTAGTCAAGAATTCCAATCGTTTTCTGAATTCCTCATCCACTTAAAGGATTCTCACCAAATAGAACAGGTGAATTATTCTGAAATTTTGGCTCAAAGAAATGATTCCAAGATTGAAATTAAATTCTATTGGCATTTATCTTGTCAATGTGGGCATAAGTTTTCATCCTCCTTATGTAATGCTGATTTAAAAATACATAGCGATAAGAAACAAATAGAACTAGTAAAAAAATATTATTTGCAATGTTTAAAGTGCGGTCAAATTGCTAAATTTGATAGGGAAAAATTATTAAATAAATTTCTTAAACAAAGAATTAAACAGATATTAATTTATAGTTTTTATGAAGAAAAATTTTCTCGGTTTAACGGTGAGCGTAGTGGAAAAGTATTGAAGGATCATAAACAAGACCTTTGTGAAAAATGTCAGCAATTGAAAAGATATTGTGGTGATGAATAAATGTATTAAGAATCAATTAGGTAGAGATATATTGTATTATTGATATATGTATTTACATTTATAAAGAAGTAAGAAGTCATAAAAATAAAGAATAAAAGATAAATAAAAGTTGGAATGGGTTTAGATTGAATAATAATTATTACTCTGTTTGTCTGATTTTGTAACTATTTATAACATATATGTATCGCTAGAGATGGGCAAATTGTGTTTCTCCAAAAATCCCGCGGGATTCATTAAACCACAAAAACTGCGCGATTGATCCTCGATTTTGATTGGCCAACGACAAACTTCTGGTCCGCATTATTAGCTACCTAATACGGAAGTATCGGAGCAGCTTTTTGTCTCGAATCAAACACTGTATGCAATTAATTAATTGAGTAATGGTATCGTGATTGATTGCATGATTTGTATGGCATGGTTCAAGGGAATAATTACGTAGTTTTTGATTGATGAACGATGGAGTCTATCGCAGAGGTTACGAATTTGTTGGAGTATATTTGATTTGCAATCGTTGAGCTTATTGATATGGTTACGTAATTGGATAGTCTTTAGATCTGGTGATCGCAGAGTTAGTTAAAGTAACGACGCAATTAAGTCGTTAGAGTTTGTTTGAGTAACGACATAATTACGCAGTTTTTGATCAGGTTTTAGCAGTAGACAGGCAATAAAGGTTAGTATGAGTAAACCTAAAGAAGACATCATATATAATGTTTCTGTTACTAATACATCAACTTCTTTAGAGAAAAACACTTGCTTTAATAAATTCTTAAAATAATACTACTTATCCTTATTACTACAAACTATAATACTTAATAACTTTATTAAACATCTATGCCAAAATCTATTCTTTGAACTTATCAAAATATTTTTTTTTAAATATTAATGGTAAGGCCATGCCTCTATCTTTATTGAATATTCAATTGAGATTTTACATAAAGTACAAGTTTGTTTTTAAAATATTATAGAAAGAATAGAAGTTCAGACTAATTTATCTGTGACCTAAACCAACTGGAATGGTCAAGGTTCAATTAGATTTAGGTGTTAGTAATAATGTATAGGGGATTAGTTTGATATTTAATCTATTGGATATATCAGAAGTTAATTTTAGAATAAATTGAATTAAAAGTAAGAATGTGTGATATAGAAGGGACAGGATTTAATAATGAATTAAAATTAGAAGGTTGGGCTGTGGATCTTGAAATATAGTAGGGGATTCAGATTTTGTAATAGATTTGTTGATTAAGATGAAGTAAAAACTTTATAGAAAATGTAGTAGTTACTTTTTTGAAAGGCAAATTTGTAATAGTATCAATGAGTTTATTTGGTATTAAGCCTGTTAGAGTTGAGAAAATTGATGATACATCAGATTTATTGTAAATAAACATGTTGTGAAGTAGTTTAATTTGGTGATATAAGTTGGTTATAGTATTAAGTATAGTATCGAGTGTATTTGAGTTAAGAGTATGTTGTAATAAGATATCAATAAGACTAAGTAGTAGTTGATTAAATGGACAAGTTGCCCAGTGAAGGTGTAAACTAGTTCAGTGGCATTGGTGACAAGTAGACGAATATGAAGAATAGCATTTATGTAGTATATGTGGAGCAGGGAGTTCGTCTGATAGAATTTTAATTCTAAAGGATTTGAGAATAGAGGACTGAAAAACTATGAAAAAAGTTTGAGATTTTTTGATTATTGTTAATATAAAGCCAGGTGGCTTGCCAATTAACTTGGTTAAGAATTTTGTGTCATATTTGAAAATGATTTTGTGTTATCCAGAGTACGTATATATGTGCATGACATATTGTACAAATGCTATGATGAGTAGATAACTCTAAGAAAAAATTCTCAAAGGTTAAAGTATAAGCTAAGTTGTAAGTATTATAGAATATAAAAATAAGGTATGACAGATTGTAATGGTTATGTACTAGTTGGTCAGTAAGGTTGTTATATTTGTTATTCTGATGAGCAGTAACTTTGTGAAAAATAATATGAATATTGTATGATTTAATGAAATTAATAAGTGTGTTCCATAATGAGAAATATGGTGTATGAGTATATGGTATAGTTGTTGTTAAGTTTGAAAGACTGTTGTATTTAGAAATCACAGATTGTGAGTCTGTGTATATGTTTATAGTGCAGTTCCTAGGAGCAGTGATAAGAGCTGATAAAATAGCAGTAAGCTCTAACTTGAATGAGCAGAGCCAATATTTAGTTTAAGCTTGAAAAATATGAAGTACAGAATCATGTGACACTTGAACCCATCCAATATCCATTGAGCATTGTAAGGTGCCCAAGCTTATAACTGAGCCATCTGTATAGAAGTAAAGTTCTAATAAGTTGGTGTTGTTATTAGCAATTTGCTGAAAATTGTTTGTAAGTGAACTGTGTTTAAAGATATTTGGAATTGAATGTGTTGTAATAGTAATATTAAAAAAGTATGGAGTTTGAATAGGATATCTAATTCCAATAGAATATATAAGGTCAAGATGGTTAGCATTAAAGTTGAGAGTTTTGTTGTGTGTATTAACTCGACCATAAAATTTAGTTAAGACATTAATGGGAATAATAATTGTGCATTTGTTGGTTATCATGTAAGAATTAAGACAACAGCCTAAGCATGCATTTAATTGAATGGGTGAAAGAGGATAGAGATAAGTAAATTGTAATTCAATAGGATATTGCCAATAAGTTATAAGAACAGTTCCAGATGGTGAAGGCTGTCTTCTAGCTTTGCCAATGATAATTTGGTTGTTAAGAACTGTAATAAGCCATGGTTTTTTCTGTGAAGAGAAATGTTTAGTTGTATAACTATAATAATTTGTGTTAGATAGGTGTAAGTTTTGATAAAGAGTATGATTGTAAGAGTGACTTGTGACTTGGTCTTCCAAATAGGTAAACCAGAGTAGTTGTTTGCCTTTGAAGATTTTGTTTATACATGGAGAAATATGTTTCCAGTCTAGAAGATATAAGTTATCAAATATGATAAGTTGATCTAAATATAAAATGCCATGATGTCTGAGTTGTTTTTTGAATGTTGTATATTTAGAGTATGAGGAAAGTAGTAATTCAAGTGAGATAGAACCCTCTTGAATAATGCATGAAATGTTGTATAGTAGATTAGATGTAAACATCACACCAAGGTGTTTGAAGAGCTGAATAATCTTGAAATTAACTGTATATTTGTTGGGGCCATAAATAATAGGATTATCATGTATTAGAATACTGGTAGGTGACCATAAATTATTTTGAAGTTGTTAGAGTCTAATACAGGTACTTATTCCCAAAAGATCAAGTGAATTGAGTCTTTTGGTAAAGTTTGTGATATGATGTTGTAATTGAATGTCCCATATATTGCAAATGTTGTAAATTTAAGAATGAAGTAGTGTATTTATAGGGATTGTGCGATTGAGTTTAGCCTTATTTTTAACCAGCCAATATGGCTTGTAAGAATTTTGTTGCATGTATTTTGGCTAAGAACAATGTTATGAAGATAATACTTAATTGTAGGAATAATGACAATATTAATTATATATCATGCTTGTGTATTAGTGATTTGTTTAGTGCTTGCAATTTTGATAAGGTGTAATGACTCAACAGTGATAAGTTTAGTTTGTTTAATTTGTTTGTTGTTAAGTGTAAACCAATATCCAAGAAATTTAAATAGTTCATTTGATGAATGAAGGTTTAGAGAATGGTTATTATATATAATAGAGGTATAGCCAGTTGGGATGTTGTTAGTTGTTAGTAAAGACTTGAAAGGGTTAATTTGAATATTAGTCATGTTAAAGAAAGATTCAGCTGTTGATAAAATTTGTGATAGCTCTTGTTGTGAGGA